CTAGAACTTTTAGGCGGACAAAAGGTTATGCGTTTTAGTATCGGTGAATGATAGTTTTGGCTTCAGATTCCATCTTATCAAATTGGTTTGGAAAGGCGAAAGTAGTGAAATGGTGTTCCGGCTTGTTAAGATTCGAAAAGATAATTTCATATAATTTTGTAGTTCAGCTCAAATGTTGATCTTATCAAAATTAGACATGGTTTCCATCTTATCAAAAAATGATTGAGCAAATCTTCATTAAATGCAAGTTGATCTTATGCATTTGTATAATATTATTAAGTCAGGCCGAGCCAATTTCTAGCTCGAACACCAACAAAAAATAACAATTGAGCTCGATTCAGCTTATTTACAGCCTTAATTCATCTTATGTGTGTGTTTGTATATACAAAACACGTGACACAAAGCGTTCGACTTTGCATTTCACGATACCACCGAATCAAAAGTAGTTCATTTACGAAATGCATAAAACAATGCTACTATTAGGCTGTATAATCGAGTCACACATACTCTTTATAAAGATATATATACTTTTGATATATTAAGAGTATAACTTTCTAACCATTAGATAACATAACAGAAGAACTCCGGAAGTTAAAAAATATAAAAGTATAGTAATTATGTAAAATATCGTTTTCCGTTTTCCGTACTACACAAGTAGTTGAAGAACGAGATGAGTCGTCAAGCGTTAATGGGCCACATCCTGCTGACCGAAATGATATCCAAGCACAGGCCCAACTATATTAAGCAGTCCAATGAAGTCCAATACCAGCTCCAATAGAGTAAATTATTTAAAAAAATAAAAAAAACATGTGCACAAAAAAAAAAGGAAAAAAAAAAGAGAGTGGACAACAATAAAAAGCCCGTATTTAGGGAATACGTTTTCTATACAATTTGTATAGAAAACGTATTCCCTAAATATGTTTTTTCAAATTTTTTTATAAAAGAAAACGTATTCAGCGAATACATTTTACAATTAAAAAAAATGGTAAAACGTTTTCACTGAATACGGGGTTTTTATTTTGGTCCACTCTTATTTGTTTGTGTTTTTTTTTTCCACAACTTATTTTTTTTTTTATTTTTTGGTAAAAAATTCAGCTCCAATATCCAATTAAGCGCTTTTAAATTTCAACAAAAAACAAAAACAAAAACGAAAAATGAGGAAACGTTACGGTTCGTTACCCAATCATTTCGTCAAGGTTTGTAACCGTTATATCATTTATTCCCACAATTATATAATGATCTAACAGTTACAAATCTCACGGAATGATTCCATAACGGAAACGTAGCAGTTGCCCCCAAAATGAACCATGTTTCTACCGTCGATCCCTTGAAAACAAAATAAGAGGATTACTGAATCCAACGGCTGAGAGCTGCAGCTCTACCTCCTCCATTTTTACTCATTTATGAGATCCATTTTTTCTCTTTCTATTTCCTGCGATCTGGTAAACTATGCTAACTTTCTCTCTCTAAAAATGCCCAATATCTGTGTTTTTTCATGCTTCCACTTTTGATATTTGCTGTCATCACGCTCTGCATGTGGAATAATTGAGCTGCCATTGTTTGTTGGTAGGGTTTGTTGTCTAGGAATTCGTGCGAAACAGG